ATATATTCCTAGGAGTGGGATTGCTGGATCGAATGGTATGTCTATTTCTAGTTTTCTGAGGAAACGCCATATCATTTTCCAAAATGGTTGTATCATTACAACTGATCTTTTTACTGCCTCTATAGTTTTGACTTTTCCAGAATATCATATAGTTGGAATCATATACAGTGAAACCTGTGAGAGCCAGAACTCAATGGGACTGCATTGTTTTTCTGGGTCTCGAAGTTTCCCACCTTTGACGAGTTGCCATCTTACCACTTTTCTATTGCTTGTTTTAGTGGAAAATATTTGCATTTTCCTTCTCTGACAGGTTTCCACCTTACACAGGTTCCAGCTTTCACTTACTGTAGTATGTAGCTTTTTCAGACCTGCTTCTTTCACTTAACAGTATGCCACATTTTTTTTTGTAGCTTCATAGCTCATTTCCTTTTTTTAATAATATTTTATTGAGTTTTAATGAAAGTTTACACAGCAAGTTAGGTTCCCATTTGACAATTTCCACCTAAATTGTCAGTGACATAGTTACATTTATCACAGTGTGTCAGCATTCTCTTTAATTGTGTTCTGTTTATTCCATTTCCAATACTCTAGTTTCCCTGCCCCCTAATCTTCTCATCTTTGCTTTTGAGTAATTTTTGACCTTTTGGTCTCATACAGATGGTTTTTAAGTAGTGCACCAATCTTATGGGTAATATCTTTTATTCTGTGTGCCACTCTGCTATTTTGCTGAAAGGTGATCTCAGGCGATAGGCTCGGTTCTAGGTTTAAAGAGTTTCTCAGGGCGAGAGTCTCGAGGGGTCCTCTGTTCTCTACTCTTCCAGTTTGTCTGGCTTTTTTGAAGAATTTGAGTTCCACATTTTTCTCCCATTCTATCCAGGACCATCTATTGTGATCCCAGTCAGAATGGTCAGTTGTGGTAGCCAGGCACCATCTAGTTCTTCTGGTCACAGGGTAGATGAGGTCATGGCTCATGTAGACTTGCTTCTTCTCTGAGCTTTCGGTTACCATCTTACTCTTTTGCTCTTGGTGAGTAGAGACTAGTAGTAGTACCTAAGATAGGCAAGCTTTTAAGACCCCAGACACTAGTCACTTCACTAGAATGCAGAACATGATTTTTGTGAACTAATTGTATTATACCAGTTGACTGAGTGTGTCCATGGGACTATGGTCCTAAGCTTTCAAACCCAGAAAACTAATCTTGGAAGGTGTTTGGTTATGTCTGACGAGTATCCATGTTTGTGTCTTCAGTGAATATATATGCCTGCACCCACATATTTGTATTTACATGTGTCTATAGGTACTTCTATCTGTTCTCACTTACGTATACACCTGTACCTACCCATATACATATCTGCCTATGCCCATCCATATGTGCTCAAATACTCTTTTTTTTTAAAACTCTTTGTTGGAGTTGTTGCCATCTTATATATGTAAAATTCTTTAGCACAGGCAACAACGTTTTCTCTTGAGCACTTCTCAGTGACATCATTTATTTTGGTTGTTCTGTGCTCCCTATATTCATTTTTGGTGCCACTTTTCACATCACCAAAAATAACAAGTCTCTACAATAAAAAGTATACCTTGCCCTTCCCTCTCATCTCCCTGGTAACCACCAATAAACGTTGGTCTTGCTGTATATATATCTAGTCTTGTCTTCTTATAAAAGAGGGATCATACAATATGTGTCCTTATATACTTGACTTATTTCAATTAGCATTATGCCCTCCAGGTCCATCCATGTTATAACACGTTTCAAGGACTCACCACTTATGGTTGCATAATATTCCATTGTATGTATTTATCATAATTTGCTTATCCATTCATCTGCCGATAGGCACTGCGGTTGTTTCCATTTATTTGCTATTGTAAATAAAGCATCAATGAACACAGATGTGTATATGTCTGTTTGTGTCATTATTTTTAGGTCTCTAGGGTCACTGTAAGTCAGAATCGACTTGATGGTTATGGGTTTGGTTTGGTTTTGGGTTAGGGTATGTACTAGGAGTTGGATTGCTGGATCACAGGGTACTTCTATTTACAGTTTTTTGAGAAAGTGTCATACCATTTTCCATAGTGGTTGTTATTTTACAGTTCCACCAACAATGGATAAATGTCCCAATCTCCCCACATCCTCGCCAACATTTGTTGTAATCTGTTTTTCTAATCAGTGTCATTTTAGCCAGAGTGTGATGGTATCTCATTGTAGTTTTGATTTGCATCCCTCTAATGTATAACCATTGTGAGCATTGTTTCATGTGTTTGTTGGCTGCTTGGATGTCCTCTTTCGTGAAAGTTCTGTTCATGTCCTTTACCTATTTTTTGATTGGGTTGTTCGTCTTTTTGTTGTTGAGTTGTTGCAGTTTTCTATAGATTTCAGAGATTAGACCCTTATTGGATAAGTTGTTTATGAATGTTTTTTCCCAGTCTGTAGGTTACTTACTCTTTTAGTAAAGTCTTTTGATAAGCATAAGATTTTAATTTTTATGAGGCCCGATTCATCTATTTTGTCTTCTATTCATGTATTTGTTGTTATGGTTTTTATCTTATTTTTCCAAAAGATTAGGTCTCATAGTTTTCTCCCAGGAATTTTATGGCTTTAGGCTGAACATTAGGTCTTTGATCCATTTTGAGTTAGTTTTTGTATGGTGTGAGGTATGTGTCTTGTTTCATTGTTTTTTTTGGTTTTTTTTTTGCAGGTGGATATTCAGTTTTGCCAGCAGCATTTATTAGATTGTTTCTGCCCCATTGAATGCATTTTGACCCCTTGTCGAAAATCAGTTGTCCATAGGTGGCTGAATTTAATTCTGAGTTCTCAATTCTATTCCACTGATCTATGTGTCTATCATTGAACCAATACCAGGCTGTTTTGATTACAGTGCTGAATAGTATGTTTTGATATCGGGGATTGTGAGGCCTCTTGCTTTGTTCTTTTTCTTCATTATTGTCTTGGCTATTTGGGTTTTCTTTCCTTTCCATATAAACGTTGGTCATTAGTTTTTCCATTTCAGTAAAGAATGTTGTTGGGATTTGTATTGGGATTGCACTGTATCTGTAGATTGCATT